GTTTATGCTATTCTCCAACTGAATGTGCTGCACAAAGGCCGCCTCATGTTTCAGTTGGTACGATATTCGAGAAATCACAGAATATTTTTATGGAGGAAACTACTCACAAGATTTGACCTTTGCTATCGAATACAACCGGTACTTTGGACTTTTGGTGTGGTAATAATTGATTGTGACTCAATATTTCGTATGATGAACACGACAGTTAGTCATGTCCACTTTTGTGTGTAGCAGAGGCTCAGGGACTAGCTGAGCTACTCTACCAAAATGAACGAATTGTTCAGTGATCAAACAGACTGCGACTTGCGTGTGGCAACACGTGGGTTATCGGTATGCCATCGAGATGGGTCAAACATAAATATGCGTTTACGATGGTCTGTGAAGCTGTCGTGACAGAATCACAGTCCCTGAAAGTCGTCGTACACACATTTCCATCAGAACTCTTCCCTGACCAGACTCACGATCTCCTCGGTACTGTATTTTTTTGAGGAGTTTTTATCTAAATACATATGTGATATATAAAGTTGAAAAGGACTGCCAACAATTCGTGTTTATTTGCTACTTTTTTATCGTGGTATTTAGTCGTTAAGACTGAGTCAATAAAGTAACCGAATGGAACGCCTGGCCTAATCAGTATGCCTCATTTCGCTTTCACTCGGGCTAATCTACTGCACGTATACTTGGTCATATCAGCGGCCTGTGATGTTCTTTACTCTGCTGGATCAAAGCACGCTGGAAAGACCGGGATTATCGTGCCTGAATGCTTGAACTGCCATCTGATTTGTTTGCCCGACGTTCCGATCGATCAGTCATTATTCTAAAGTAAGGTAGCGTTACAATGCTTGTTTCACTGATTTTTGTGGCACCGCCCACATGGAGAGTTATGGCTACTGGCTTGTTCAGTCAGCACAGGCACTTGAACTCTCTTTCGAAGTGACGGAAAAACTTATCACGTCGTTCAAAGTACCAGGTTCTCAATCCGTTGAGGGATTCAACTTCAGTTGCTCACAGAGTCGCCTGTCAAGGGCTCAAAATCTGGGGCAGACAAGAGCTGAAACTCTACTGATGAGATCTTAATACGGTGAAACCAGTGTCACTGATCCCGTTATGTAAAATGTGCAGAATAATTTCGCCAGGATAGTGAGAGGAGGGCCGTTTGATTGGGAGTAGTGTGAATACGTCTACAAATACCCTAGATTTGGCCCAAAAATCAAATCAAGAGACCAACAAGTGAGAAATCTTACAAACATTTACATCACCCGATGATTTCTGAACCAATAATCCGATCAGATGTTTGCCCAAAAAGAGATTGGCCAAGTGGGTGAGATTTCAATCACTCAAGTTGTTCATAATCCACTACTTCAAGTGGGCGTGAAGCAAGAAAGGAAAATCCACACTGGGTTTGCAGAACTCACTTGAACACTTCATTTAAATGCGTAAGCAGCTGATATTCGCGTGCCTTATTTTCCCAACCAAAGATATATTTGGTTTCTGAGGAAAAACCGAAACAGGTGCAAACTTCTAACGACATCCTTCCGTTTTTTCCTGTACAATTGTGGTCGTAACTGTGAGACCACCGGCTAAAATTCGAACATATTATTTCCGTTTTCATGAATATTCTCTTCTCGATTTAAGTTTATAGTTACTGACTGATTTATAGGTGCATATGCTATCATCTCTCATAGTGTATACTACCGATGAAACTTGTGAGTAATACCTGTGCCATGCTG